AAATAAAATTTGCTGTAGTTTTCCAGGCATAGAATCTAATTACTATTAAATTTGTCTCCCACCCACTGTCACAGCAGGAAAATAAATTGTGGGGTGAGCAGTAAGGTAGTGCTCCTGCCTTTCCCTCCCACCTTTTCCCCCTCTGCTCTCCCTGAGCACATGAAAGTGAGGAGCAAATCTGAAAACACTGAGCTTGAAATAAACAAGCCTGCAGTAGCTGACATGTAAACATAGTTGGTCCAGAACTGATGCACATTATGCTTTCTCAAACTGCTGCAAGTTTTAGCAATGGTACTCCATAAACATACTTCTAAGCAGCACTTCTGCACTTTTAAAAAAAATGTCGTAAGTAAGTGTCTTGGGCCAAATCAGTTCCAAAGTCTACTGACTGAGCACAGTTTAATCATTCAAGTTGTGTAGTGCTACCACCAGCAAGCATCCTCTCCCCCAGACTCTGGGTCAATTCACTTAACAAGGGCTGCAGGGCAGGAACCTGCCTGGGCCTTACAGAGGTGACTCAGCCTGCAGCACAGGAGCCCTACACTAACCCCTTCTGCTCCTAAAAAACCAGGCCCCGGGGCTTCTAGATGCCCTGGTTTATTAGGGTGAGCCTGATCGACACCTTTCAGAAAAGTCTGGCACATGGACATTACTTGCTGGTACCAGGAGCCTTCCTCCAGGCCTTAACCCTCCTAGTCCAATAGAGAGTACAATTTCCCCCAATCATCCTGGCGTCTAGAATCTGGTGAACCAAAACCTCCCCTTGTCCTTGGACCTACATGGGAGGTGGAAGGTTGGTGCTTGACCTGGAAAGGGGTTCTCCTTAGGAGTTTTCAGCAGAAAGGCATGAGAGACCAGGTGTATTTTCACGGTCCTGGGGAGCCTTAATCTATAAGTGACTGGGTTGATCTTTGCATTGATTGGGAAGTAGTGGTAGTTCAGTCTGGTAGACAGATGTGCAAACAACAGGTGGGTAGCCAAACCTTATCTCCCTCTGAGAAGGCTTGTGCCTCTTGATGATCCTTATCTGAAAATATCTTGCAAGTCTCCTTGGCAGCTTCCAGATGTTCCTCTAGGTCTTTCGTGGATCTGGTGGATGATTGACCAGATTAGCTGCAGCTGGTGTGCAAGAGGACTGGGAGGATAAGAGATGATGAATGCAGGGGTGGAAGCCATCATTCAAAATTAAGGAGACTGGCTGGTGGAGGCATGTTGGGAGTTACCGTATGGGAATACTGCAAGCAGGAGTAGGGAGACCCAACTGTCCTGATGATAATTCAAAAAGCATCAGAGAGATTGTTTGAGTGTCTGACTGATCCATTCCATTTGTTTGTCAGTTTCTGGGAAATGGGCAGATGCAGCAATGGGTTTGATTTCTAACCATTTTAAGAGTTATTTCCAGAAGTCAGAAATGAATTGAGGGCCATGGTCCCAGATGATGCCCTGGGAAGACCATGCAGCTGGAAGACATTTCCTAAGAAGAGTTGGGCTGTCTCTGGGGCTGTGGTGGTCTGAGGCCAGGGGATGAAATGGGCCATCTTGGTGAGGAGATCCACTACCACCAGGATGCTTGAGTGCCCTAGGGCAAGAGGCAGATCAGTAATCAAGTCAACAAACACCTTGCATTAAGGCTGTCTTGGTGTCAGTAGTGGTTGGAGGAGGCCTAGTGGCTTGGCACATGGGATCTTGGTGCAAGCACAAACCTCACAAGAGCCTACATATTTCTGAATGCTCTGACAAAGGGAGTGTAGCATAAAAGGGCGGGGGCAGGGGCAACCAACAAAGCTCAGAAGCATAGGAAATATGATCAGTAGAACATAGGCATAGCTGCGCCTCGATCTTCCACAACCAGTGGCTGTCTTCTTGAACACCGCCAGTGATGGAGAGTCCACAGCTTCCCTAGGCAGGCTATTCCACTGCCTCATTATTCTAACAGCAAGGAGGTTTTTCCTGATAACCAACCTAAATCTACTTTACAATGTCAAGCCACTGGTCTGTGTCCTCCACTCTGCAGCAGGAGAGAAAATGTGCTTTCCCTTCTGACTATGGCAGCCTTTCAAATATTTGAAGACTGCCATCATATCCCCCATTAACCGTCCTTTCCACAAGCTGAATGTGCCTAGCTCCTTCAGCCTCTCATACGACTTGTTTTCTAAGATTCTTTGTCATCACTCTCACCCACCCTCTGGATCCTGTCTAACTTCTCTATGTCCTTTTAGTAAGTGAGGAGCACAAAATGCACATGCTCTACATGAAGCCTAACCAGCGGTGAGTAGAGACACAATCATCTTCCCGCATCACGCACCTAATACTGCTATTGATGCATCCCAAAACCACATTTGCCTTTTTTGCAGCTGCACCCCACTGCAGACTTGTATGAAGTTTGTGATCTACCAAGGCCACCAGATCCTACTCTGTAGTGCTGCCAGCCTTCAACAAGTCATTGGTTCCCAGCTTGCTAATTGTCCTGATAGTTTGCCAAACTGTATTAAAGGTCATTCTTTGGTGCAACGGAGCCTGTTGTCTGGAACCACTGCCTTGTGTAATTATGGCCTGATTATCACTTGGTTTATTACTTTGGTAGTAGTGGTTGGGTTCAGTGCCACACATGTGCCTGGCCAGAGTGCCAACCTGTTCCATCCTCCTCCTGGCTCCTGATATTTCTTTTTGTCCCTGTAGTGGGGCACTAAGGCGCCTGCTACCTATGGAGCAGTAAGTAAAGAGGCCAGCTGGAACCAAACCCATGTGCACAGGCATACACTTGCAAAAACCCCTGCACCAACAAGCTAGCGTTCATGTATCAGCTCTCATGTGCAACCCTGAAATAATGATGCCACGCTGCCTAGTAAGCATTTGAAAACAGTTCTGCAATTGTTGAGCTCTGACTGGTGCTTATCATGCTGATCATAACAGGCCTGCACTTCCTTTGTGCTCTCTGCTCTGTCTGTTTTACCTATCTCCTGTCTCTCATCAGTGTCATCACACCCCTAAGTTGTGAGCTCTTTGGGGCAGAAGCAAGATAGTTTGTTAGTTGTGTGTACAGTAACTGGCACATTGGGGCAAATGAGACTTCTGCGAGTTACAACAACACTGATAAACTAGCTCAGCATTCATAAATAACCCTACAGGAACAAAGCAGTCTGCATAATGGAGGAGAAAGTAGCTAATGAAATGCACTTCACTTGTAAGCCTCTTAATACTCTTTAGCGTATTTTAGGGTGAGTGTTGGGGAGGGTGTTTTAGCTGTGTCTGTAGGTTCATTAGCCTTGGGCTTGTGCGATGGAGTCTGCCGATATTTGAGATGTAGGCCATTATTGCTGATAACACCCTAAGAAGGCCTTTTCTGTTTGGCAGTCAGAGCTGCAGTCAACCCTCACGGCCCTCTTCACTTCATTGTCTTTGTTGCGGAAACTGTTTCAGCCATTGTCCTTTTGGGAGCTTTGCTGTCTCTGGTTGTAAATGACTGAAGCAATGATAATGGGCTTGGGCTGTTCCCATTGCTTGCGTGTGTTCAGCAATGGAAGTGGATACAGGTGTGTAACAGGCAGTTTGACAATAGTACACACCAGAAGTGTTCCAAAAGTCAGCGGTCAGGTAGTGTGCTGCCTTTCTTGCCCCATGCGGAGTCAGAACTGGAAAATACTGGCATTGACCCAACACTTGTTTTGCACAGAGCTGAGAATATAAACAGTACCCCCAGCACCACAGCAACTGGCTTGTCTCTCACTGGATCCCCATTACCACATCCATTCCTCCCTGAGGAATGCAGTACAGGTGTTACAGGCTGGGTGACAGCAGCCAGATTAACTCTTTCTGTGCTGGATCTCTACCATACCAGCTCTTGCACCTGCCATCCAATGGAGTGGTAGGGCATAACCGAAACGTGCAGTAGTGGAATAGTTCTGTTCTACACAAACATATCCAATCCTTTTAGCACTGCAGCTGGTGTTTTCAGCCTGGAATAAACCTGGAATATTTCTCAGAAGTCAAGTAGTTAAACCAGCTTTTTGCCTTCTGTGTTTTTTCCTCCTCAGCTCAGATCTGGCCTCTAGGCTAGAATATTTGCACTAACCAGCTTTTCTTCTTTAACATTCTTTTCCTGACCTCATTTTTGCTGACCTTGCTGCAGGACTTAGCTAGATTTTTTGACATACAGTATTTAGTACCATTAATTAGCAAAGGGAATTCTGACAGACGTGCATCATGTTAATTAACATGCTACCAGATACTGCAGTGAGGGGCACAGTATGAGAACTGATGAAAGAACCAAATAGATGCTGGGTTTTAAATAAAGCAAGTGCAGCTGATGCTAAGAAATTGTGCTAAGGACAATGAATGAACTTTTTCACTGGAATGGCCAACTCCCAAAAACCAGATGGTGCAAGGTGGTCATTTCAAATGTCTGGTACACTTATCACATCCCCCCAGATAGAGATTCACAGACAAGCAAGCTGAAGGCTGTCAGTTTTAAGATGGAGTAAGGAATTCCTGGCAAACCAACTCTGTCCTTGGAAGGACACCAAAAGCAGGCAAAGAAATATGTGAATGCAAGCTGGGTGCCAGTTTGGTGTCTGTTTGATGTTCCTGGGATAGATTTTGCTGGATGCCCCATGGCATTTTCTCTTCATTGTAGGATACAGTTGCAAATGGATTTTGCATGGTGCACTGGCAAAATGTGCCAATGCAGCTCTTGCTCCTATGTACACAAACACAAGCTTTGGGAATGACAGACGGATACACTGGTGCCATGCTCAGGCATAACTCTATTCATGCATTCACAATAATGAGAGTGCAGATTAAAGGAACCATGTGAGCCATCCTTCTACCCTCCTCCTTTTCAGCCAGAGAGGTGCCAAAATGTCAGTTGCTGAAGGCTGTTCCAGTGGACAAAGAATCTGCTCCTATGGGCCTGAGATGCCTTTCCATTAGCAGAGATGCTAAGCTGCATCTGAGGTGCTCTCACCTCTGGAACAACACCCGGGAGGTGCTAGGCCAGGTTTCTTTAGCAGGCAGACCTTCCCCTTGTGTAGCCTGGTGATGGGTGTTAGGCATGCTGTGGCAGAGCAGTTGGGCACAGTACTCCCTGCACTGCTCTCTTGACTACTTGCTATGGTGCCTTTCTTGGCCTGCCAGGAACACTTTCCCCCCCAAACCTTTTCAGATGCCTCCAGGATTTTAAAGCCCACTGCTCTTAGAACCCATGTATGCCCTGAAGCATGCAGAGTAAATACACAGGGGGCAGGATTGTGAACCAGGTGTGCAGCTGGGGCTGACAAAGATCAAAGCCAGTCTGCAGACCAGTTTGGCTGACAAAACTAGAAAAAGCAACTCAACAGGAGTTTTCCTGTGGCAACTGCAAACATCCGTTCAGAAAACAACATGGATAGTACTCAGGCAATAGGGGAAAAGTGAGCTCCCCTAGCCCAGCCCCTCCCTTCCTCTATATAAGGGAGCTGTCCAAGGGGTTGCCTTGCACTGTCATCCCTTTGCTTTCCAGGGGGAGGATATAAGCCTTGTTGCACCTTGACTACTGATATCCCAAGCATGGCTAGTTCCTTAAGTCGCAATTTATTCTGCTCTGGCTTTCCTCAAGGGCCCAGACTAAACTGGATCAGTGCAGCAGGGTTGCAGCCAGGGCTGCTCAGTATCCATGGGGGAGCTGGGAGCATTGGCAGTTGCCTTTCCTCTGCCAGTGCTGCATTTGTGAAGTCTGTGCCAGCAGGTAGTTATGAACTAGGCATTGGATCTGGTGCTAGTGGAATAGGCCTCCTTGGTATGAATGAAAAGGACACCATGCAGAACTTGAATGACCGCCTGGCTGCCTACCTGGAGAGGGTGAGTGATTTTCAGAGCTGAGATCTTGGGGTCTGGAGTGCAGTCTCTTGCAGAGAGACATAACCATGGCCTCTCACTCTGAGGCATCTGACATGATGCATGATTGTGCATGGATGTATATGAAAGAAGATAAAAGCCATTGGGCAGCAAAGCTGTAGTTAAGGGAACAGCATTAGTGCTGGTGGGCAATAATAATAACTAGTATTACTACTACATAAGTATAGTGTAACAGTAATACTGGTATGATAACATAACTAACAACAATTACGGTCATCACTGTTGTCATTATGGCAGTGCCTAGGATCCAACCAGGAATGGTATTATGCAAACATAGTAGCAGGTGTGCGCAATGACTGGTGTATTGTACAAATGCCACTTACAAGCATGGAGCTGAAGTTTGGAATGTGCCAGAGTAAGGTTATCCAAAAAATAAAAAAAAAGAGGGGATGGTTCATTTTCCAGACTGCCCATCATCACAGCATTTTGGCTTCTAAATCTTTGGTTGGAGGCTGGGCTGTGGCCATTCTGAAGCCCAGCTGCCAAGTGTACAAATAGCTCTTTGGCCAACCATATAATTGCACAGCTTCCCCAGGAGCTGCATTTCTCTGGTAGCAGATGATCCCAATTCTTGCCCTGAATGAGTCAATGATGCTGCCTTGGTTTTGTTATGGGAATCTGTAGCAGACACTGTAGCACTGCCTCCCCCAAACCTCTTGCTCCCCACCCACTTTTTTTTCTTGGCCTTCCTTGCTGCTGCTAGGTGTGTTCTCTTGAAGAAGCCAACAGGCAGCTGGAGCAGCAGATTCAGGAGCTCCAGGTGAAAAAAGCACTCGCCAGACACTATGATCCAAGTAGCTGCTTCAGCACCATTGCAGAACTCAGATCACAGGTACTGAGATTCCCTGACCCTTCTACTGTGGGCACATGGGGAGAAGGTCCTGGCTTTGACTTATGGCTCCATTTCCACCCTTGGCTTGTGTGTGGACAGGGGGAGGCAATCCCTGCTGTTTCTTATTGCTAGGACTGAATATCGGGTGCTGCCTTGGGATGCCTTGGTAAGGTAAGCTGGTGCCCGCTTTGGAGGCTACTCCTACATCTCAGCTTTCATTTAAAGAGCACTCATTCTGTACCACTGTGAAGGTAACCTGCCACCTGGGATGCTTGTTTGCAGCCTCATACAGTCACTCTAAGACATATGAACTGCCTCTGTGTCCCAGTAAGTCATTACAGACAAAGTCTTACACCATCTGCTTGAGTATCAAAAGAATTTCTTTTATCTCTGATGAAATGAGGTCTGACTTCCAATGTCAAAAATGAACGCAGCTTATCATGGGAAGTAGTAGCTTGCAGATGGTCTGTATCCTCCTTTACAGATCCGGTGGGTGCTGTGCTGGGAGAGGTTAAATGTCCATCATACTGATTTTGGTCATGTGTATTTCCTTTTCAATGGCAATGTGATTTAAAGAGTCACTATTCCAAGTTTGCCCTGTGCTGTGAGGTTCATGCATCTGAAAGCACAGCTCTGGCCCAGGTAACAAAAGAGATGGATAACAGTGTTCCCCAACAGACCTCCTTGGTTTCCAAGAAAGCAGTAGAAGGGCTCAGCTACCTCCCCTTTTCTCTTTCTGCAGATCCAGTATGAGTCAGTGCGCAACTCCCAGCTGATCCTCCAGATTGATAATGCCAAGCTAGCTGCCAATGACTTCAGAATGAAGTAAGAGATCTCTACCAGACCCCCTTCCTCATCCTCTTCCCCCTCCTTCACCCCTATGCTCCCTTTAAAGGCCAACTTTTCAAAGCAACCTCTGCAATCACATCTGGAAAAAATACAAATGCAGCCTGTGCAAGCACAGAAAAGGACATTTGCTCACACAAAGGAAATGCTCTTGCAGATGCTACTTATTTATTATGATTTGTTTTGTGGTGGCATTGGGAGGCTACCACTGTGGACTGGGGTTTCATTGTGCTGGGTGCTGCACATCTGTATAACAAGGAAGTGGGTCTGCCTCAAAGAAGTTGTAGCTGTTAGTGATGCTTTGAAGCCGAATGGAACACCTTCCTGGCTTCAGGAGTGCAGCAACACACTTTGCTCCACCTAGGGTGGTCATTGAGGCATCCCCAGAATACAGGATATCCCCTTGGTGAGTGGTGGGACCACGCCCCCTCTCCTTGGCCAATCAGTAGCGAGAGGTGGGGCTGCCACCTCCCGACCAATCAGCCACAAGGGGTGGGGCCACTGGGCCCCTTAGCTAATCAGCAGCAAGGGGTGGGGCCACCACAAAAAAGGCCACTTCTCTCCCTCCCTCCCTGGCTGGCTCAGAAGCCTGCTTCTCCTGGCTGTGCACCACCCTACCTCTAGATACAGCCAATAGACTCTCAAAGACAAATGATTGACATGTCTTTCCACCAATGAACTGAAAAACAGGACTTTTTGTGGTCTGTTTCTTGTTCAGAAACAGACAGGGGACAAATGATTTAAAAACAGGATGGTCCTGTATAAAACAGGACCGATGGCCACCCTAGCTTAGCCCCAGGGCAGCAGACTTAGCTGATGAACTCTGGTCTTGTATCAGCAGTCAGAGAACCCCAGGAGACTATTAGTTTTCTTGGGATAACCCTGGCCTAGATTCTCATGGTCACATGACCCCTCTCAGCTGTGGGCAGCAGGATGCTTTCTTCTCATAGCTGCCCATGACTCACTTAGCTGTGTCTGGGTCAGCAGGATGCAGACTCTTGTGCTCGTTCCATATAGGTTTGAGGCCGAGCTGGCTACCCGGCTGGGTGTGGAGAGTGACATCAAGGGTTTACGCAAGGTCCTGGATGAGCTGACAGAGGCCAGAGCCAGTCTGCAGGTGCAGATTGAAAGCCTGAAGGAGGAACTGACTTATCTCCAGCAGAACCATGGAGAGGTGAGGTTGCTGCAGAACCCCAATGGGATCCAAGAGGATCACTATAATTGATGTTTTCAGTGAACAAATCTGAGGAGTTTTAACGTTCACACAAGGGAAAGACATGATGACAGGTGTGGGATTGAGGAATGGTTCCCTTGGCTTTCCCAATACACAGTACTTCTCAGTCCTGAGTCACAGTCCTCTGCTCCCCCAACCCACATCTCTGCCCTGGGCCTCTCACCTACATACCATATGGAGAGTTGCTTTTATAATGAGCTGGACAAACTTCCTCTGGGGACTAACCTCAAATCCTCTTTTCCTCCCCTGAGCTAAACCATGGCGTAAGACTGGATCCCAATGACAACAAGCCAGTGCATGAATCTTCTATGCTGCCAGTCCCCCATCCCTTCCCTTGCCTCACCTCCTGCTCTTTCTGACTTATGATGACTGATTTCCTTTACCTTTCAAAGGAAGTGGCTGCTCTCCAAGGTCACTTGGGAGGCTCTGTCAGTGTGGAGGTGGATGCCAGTCCAGGCATCAATCTGGTGAAAACCCTTGCAGAGATCCGGGGCCAATACGAGGATATAATCGAGAAGAACCAGAGAGAGGCTGAAGCCTGGCACAAGCAGCAGGTAGGGGAGGCTCAGCAACTAGCCACAAACTCATGCTATAACCTTCTCTCAGTGACATCTGTTCACGTTACATCTCAACGTGGGAGGTTTGGTGGAAGATGCATCTGGCCTGAGATCACTTATTTCCCATTCATATTGTCTCCATCTACTAATAGAGAGGATGCAAAATGTCCCCCTGGTGAGTGGGGGCATCATATGACTAAGGCATTGCTGATAGCACCCCTGCCACCTTGCCAGGTATGTGGCTTGAGCTCCTTTGCTTCTGTGCAGTGCAAGACATTCACTCAAGAGGTCGCCACCAGCAATGAAGCCCTCCAGGCTGCCAGGACAAAGGCAACAGAACTCAAGCGCATTGTGCAGAGCCTCAAGATTGAGTTGCAGACGCTGCAGAGCATGGTGGGTACCACAGCTCCTTCTTCATAATTGTAAGGTACTAAGAGGAGTGTTGTTAGAAAGGCCATGAAACTGTGGTTATGCAGGGATCCAGGAAAAAGCAAGAAAGCAATGGTCATGTGACAGTCTTCTTGCCAAGGGTAATGGCACTAGGATTTGGAACAGGCTATTGCAGCCTTCAGCATTAAACGTTTCCCTTGAAACACAAGTACTGGTTTCTCTGGTGAAAAAACTTCTGAAGGTCCACCCCAGCCCCAGGCATCACCTGGGGTCAGTAGGCCACAGGCCTCACCATCTTGGCCCACAGGAAATATTAATCGTCAGAATCCAAGCTCTGGTGGGCCTTGTCTCTTGTGGGACTTGAGGCTCCAAACTGGAGTCTGCTGTCTCTCTTAGGATGGCCTTCCCATTCTCTCACCCCTTGTGGGCTTCTTGGCTTCTTCCTGCAGGGACACCCTAAATCACTGGTCAAGAAGTTGTCTAGATGGCATTACCCAAGACACCCAGCAGCCTTGGTGTGATGATACCCCTCCCTTCACTGCTCTGGAAAGGCCTTAAATGAGAGGGCTGGGTTTTCCCCTACTGATGTGCAGCTGGAATAGAGTCCGTACAGTTTGGCACATCTTTCTTTTGCTTTTAGAAAGAAGCTCTGGAGGGCACATTGGCTGAGACAGAGTCTCACTATGGGGTGGAAGTGGCACAGCTGCAGAACCTGGTTGCTGGGAAAGAGGCAGAGCTGTCACAACTGAGAACTGACACCCAGCGTCAAGCTAATGAGTACCAGCGCCTGCTGGACCTCAAGACCAGGCTGGAGGTGGAAATTGCCACTTATCAGCATCTCCTTGAGGGTCAAGAGGTCAGGTAGGAGATGTACAGTTCTGAGCTCCTGAAGCCATAGGCTGGGGAGGGCTGGGAAAGGTGTGAGGCAAAGAAGAGGGAGAGAGCCCAATGTAGTCCAGAGAGTTATCATGGTCAATATGACTCTTCTGCCAGGAGCGGCTGGCAGTGAAAAGGGCCAAGTTCAATTATCTAGGGGCTCTGTCTAAAAATATTTAAATGCTAGTTCAATTCCCCAGCTAGAAACCAGGGAAACTATGCTTTATCATCTGAATGACCTTGATGAAGAATATTTTCTCTTTCACATACAGGAAGCTTAAGGGTTTAAAAACAAACAGAACAACATGGGATGGGGAAATAGGGAGCATGCATACACTTGGAAAAGGGACCCAGAATGATAAGGAAATGCTAACAGGTGGGTGGCCTGTCCCTAGGATGTCTTGTCAAATTACTTAAATCCTGATCCTTGTCTCACACACAAGTGATTAATAAAGCATTTAACATTGCCCCCCCCTCCGCCCCAGCTCCATCATACCCTACTCTCAGTTAGCTGTTCAAGAAGTCTCAATTTTGGCCAGACCCAGCCCATTCTCCAAAGGAACCTTCTAGTAAATGGCTCTACCACCTCTCTTAGCTGAAGTGCGTGCAGCTTTGTTGCAGGATAGGGAAGTTTCTCTGGATGAACTTAGCAAAGCTGCTGCTCCTAGCATTAGCTCAGGTAGGCTGAGCTCTGTGCATCACCTTGGAGCTGCCACTTGCCATCTCAACTCTGCTGGCCACCACAACGTCTCTGTACTTCTGCAGCTCCCTTCACTGCTTTGTAACCATCTCTGTGTCCTCACATCTTTTTAGATATCAGCTGTAGGCCACCAGAAACAGAGTCCCTGCCCGCCCACCCATGATCATGTGTTTTTCTCTTGTCATTATAAAGTCTGGGGCTCCTTTATCCCACTATTACAAGGTGACTTCTCACTTCAGACACACGCGACAGTTCTCTTCTCCATTTGTTATCCAAAAGGGATAACAGCGTTTCAGCAGCCCCACCATCAAAACTCTGTCTTGCCCCAAACTGCCACAGAACTGACAGCCAAATGAGAGCTTGGTTCAGTAGGCCTTTTCGTGAGATCACCAGCTGGTGGCACCTGCACTCATTCCCCATGGAGTGCAATGGCATCCTGAGGAGCTGGTGGAGGGAAGGGAACTGGGAAGCTCCGGTGAGGGGTAAGGTTCAGGTTTCTAGGGTCTGCAGATTGAGCACAGCACAGGGCACAGGCCCTCCACTCCCTTCCACAACCCCTTCCAGTCTTCATCCTGGGATGCTGGTACCTTCTCTGCACCAGCTACTGTCAGGAGCAGCAAAAGGGGAGCTGACATATAGCTCTGGGGGGAGATTGCAGAGCTCGGGTACAGGGTCCAGGTCTCTGATTTACTGCATAATAAAGTTGTTTTAGGAGAATCCCAGCCTCCCTGGGGATTTGGGGCTGGAGAAGAGGGTGTAGGTGGAACAGCCAGGGCTTCCAAGGAGATGGGGGAAGGTGGTCCTTCTGGTCATCTTTACCAAGTGAGGCATCCCTTCTTCTCACTACAGGTCAGAGGCCAAGTCACCTAAGCAAGAAATCTCACCAGGTGAGTCGAGTGGTGGAGAAGCTTCCACTTGCTGGGGGAATGGTCCCTTTAAGCTGAGCCTCCCTCCTGTGACCTCTCTCTGTTTATTTCTATGGGTAAATGCTGAAGTTGGTGCTGGTGAGCAGGGCAGGGCCTTGAGGAATGGAGCAGGTGCTGCTGGCCCCCAGCATCTCCTTTCTGCCATGCACTGTGACCCATTTAATCTCAGCCTTGCTGCAGCTGCTGTCAACAAGGGGCCAGTTGTAGTGCTGGCTCCAGTGCCAGGGAGACCTGCCCACTGGAGTCACTGACTCATGGCAGAGAGTTGCTGGGAATGGCATTGTTCAGTCACACCAATTTGGGCCAAGCAAGAACTGGTCAGAGATCTGTGTTCTGTGCTGAACAGGCCTCCTTCCTTGAAGGCTGATTGCTCCTAGGAGGTCCAGGGGATGCAGAATGGCACACACCTACCCTGCTGGTGGCCAGGAAGGCTGTCCTGCCTGCTGCTGCTGGGCCTCCTTGGGGTGGCTGGGCTCCAGGTGCACGGGGAGATGCTCTGATGGCTCGCCGCCCCGTTCCTTCCCACACTGAGCCCCACTGTACAGTTAACTCCCACAGCCCCACTCTCTTGTTTTCCTTCTCACAGAGGCTGTTAGCAAGGCCCCCACCACCAGGAGGATAAAGACTCTGATCGAAGAGCTGGTGGATGGTGAGGTGGTCTCCTCCCGCATCGAGGAGGTGGAGCATCCTCTATGAGGGGTGGCTGGGAAAGGGCAAGAAAAGGGGAAACCCTCCCACCCTCTACAGCTTCTGCATATCCAACCCCTGCTGTTCATCCATCCTGCTGAATTGCCACCTGTTCTTTTGTGCCTCTGGTTTTCAATAAAGCAAATGGTAGGGTGAGTGGTCAGAGTGAAACCGTGGCATGGGGCTTTCTGCAGTGGGGCAGAGGGAGACCTAGGTAGTTCGTGGCACGTGCGGGCCATGCCAGGATTCCAGCCCCAGGCAAGAACATTGAGCAAATGGTCCATCAGACCTACCCTGGCCCCACGCCCTGCACCTCATTCTCTCCGCTGCGTGTCCCAAGACAAACCCAGAGATTTCCAGTAGGAAACCACAGTGTCACAAACATTTGACCCATTGTGGGCTTTCTGAGTTCTTTGTAACAGAAGGACTGCTCTTATTGTTTCTCCATAGTCAACAAATGTGTGAAAGCAGAGAGCTGGCATTTTTTGAGGGGGGCTTAGAGCCTAAGGAGGTTGAGAACCAGTGGCTTACCTTCCTAGGTGAATTGATTCCCAGCTTTCACCACAGCACTGAGAGCAGAATGTGGCCTGTGCCTTCATCAGGAAGTCTTCTTTGGAGCTGCTATTCGTAACAGCCTTGTGGATGCTGCACAGACCAAAGGTGCTTCCCCCACTGGTGCTGTCTCGGTTTTTTGCTCAGCTTGGAATCATGCAGCTACTTTAGGTAGCACCCGGGTAGTCTAGCCAGTGTTGTGCTGGACGAAGAAGATGTGAGTTATATTCCCAGCTCTGTTGCTGGCCTTCTGGGTGATGTGGGCATGTCTCTTCCCCTTCCATGCCATGGCAACCCCAGTCATTATGAGACTTCCTTCAGGCCCGAGGATGGGATGTGCAGTCTGGGAGCAGCAATGGGAAGCTACCGCCGTGACAGGAAACTGCTGGAGGAACTGGGCCAACTTTGGTGGTCACACAAAGATTGGGGCTGAGCCCCTGGCATTGATTGGTAGGACACATCACCCTGCCCTCATCTCAGAGACTTGGGCTAAGCAAGCAGAGGGACCCTGCCAGTGCTCCCTGTCCTGGGAAACACCTGCCCCCCTCATCTCACACTCATTTTCAGCAGGGACGTTTGCTCCAGCTTGTGCCACAATTTTTGGGTGCACTGACTTCAAAGCCTTGCAACTAGAGACGGGGCTCAATTCACCTCCCCTCAGAACAGGGGAAAGTGCCTTTATTAGAGGTGTACTTCCTCTGTTTTTCTCTCCCCCTTACCCCTCTGTCAGATGGACTGGGCTTCTCCCTTTTGGCTTTGTGAGGTGGTCCCATGTCTGTGTTATATGGGGGTTCTAGCAGGAGGCCCATTCTCTCTCTCCCATCCCTGATATTCACAGGCCTTGTGTTGCAGAGGCTGCTTGGAGCAGCTGGAATGGTTCTTAAAGGCAGGAATGGAGTGAGACAATATACAATGTCTCATCTCCTCTGTTATAAGGAGAGCACCTTGTGCAGGACCCAGTGCTGCTGCTGACCCAGTGTCTCAAGCCCCTGGGATCTGCAGGGAGCATTCTAGCTTGTTGCTGCTCTCTGCTGCATACTAGATCCTAGGGGGATCCTTCCTATGGTAGAAATAGTAATAGTAGGCACCTGTCTGTCTCACGAGACAACAGAATTACGCTGAGTGAGATACCAGCTTTCTGAAAATAATCCTTGCTTGAAAGATTAAGTGATTTTGGATTGGCCTCTCCAGGGAACAAAAGCCTGGGCAGTGTATAGGGAGACACTGAGCTGCTCACACACCAGTATCCTCCTTTCAGCCTTGCTGGTTTAATCCAGAGGAAAGGCAGGTGCTAGTACATTTGGAATTAGCTTGGCCACAGGAGCTGCTGGAGCAAAGGAGATCATCCATTTATCTGTCTATCAGGGCTCCACTAGTAGACTGGGTGCTGACCAGGGTTAAAGAGCCCAGTCTACCCTGTCATGGAGGAGACTTCAGTTCCACAAGTTTTTGGTGGCATTTCCTCTGCCAGAAGTAAGACTAGTACCCCACTCTAAGGTGCTCTTCTGCAGAAAATCATCAGCACCCTAGAGGTTGCCAGGCTATTTAACCGCTGTCCAGCACTCGGCAATAACAGCCGCAGGTAGGTTTGTCTTCTGTAAGTTATGGTAGCAGCTAACCTGACCTGGCCTGCATTACTACCTTTGGACTACATGGGGAAATAACCAGCAGGGCCAACGTGTAGCCACTAGGGGGCAGCAGTGACCTCGCTCATCCTCTACAGGGTGCAAGGCAAGAAGCTGGCTACTTCCACTTGTGTTTCGGGCACTGGAGTGGGAGCTGGTTGTGCCCTCCCCCCTCTCCTGACCCAGGCTGCCCTACCCCATTGGAAATATGTGGAGCTGGATGGTCCCCCAAATTCTCTCTGAGTTGTGGTCAGGGCAAATTTAGAGCAACGACAGAGCGGGGAGATAGGGTATGACCTGTGGCAGCGGCAAGGGGGATTTCACCCCTTGGCATGGGCAGGTCCTGGGGAAGAATGTACAGCCAGTGGAGAAGGGGTCAGGCCCATCCTGCCACCTCAGCTTGCCCTCAGGGTGTATCTTCATGCAGAGGGGAACATACCAGAGTATAAGACCCATCTCTGCAATGCTCATTATTTCTTCAGGCTAGTCATTCCAGGCCTGAGGATGCAGACTACAGGGAACCTCCCTGCAGTGGTAGGAGATTTACCATGGTGATGATGCCCATTTATCTCTTCCCCCCCATAGCACCCTCATTGCACAAGTTTGTGCCACTGTGTGCATGCACATGTGTGTGTGTGGTAGTAGGAGACAGATGCTTTTGATCCAACAGACAAACCCCAAACCTGACTAAGCGAGGGTTGATTCATATCTTTCTTGCCTGTGTTTTCATTCAGAAGATCAGGGGTTTTTGGGCTTAGTGGTTCCCAAACCTTCTGGACCAATGGACCCATCAGGTCTTGACATTTCTTGCAAAGTTACCCTCACAGTTTGGAAACCGTTACCCCATGCCATATACAATGGCTTGATGTCCCAGGCATGGCCAGCAGGTGTCAGCATGTACCAAACCTTGAATCCAGCAACATAACATATGATGCATCCGACACACACAGCTCCAAGCACACTTACATCCCAAGGTGCTGGGGAAGGGATGGTGGAGAGGACAGTCCTTCACCCTTCCTCTGCTCTCCTTGCCTAGATCCTGCTTTTCTCATCCCTCTCTCGCTGTTGATTGGGCAGCATAGGAGGACTCAGAGCATGTTGGTTCAGATACACTGCCAAATTAACTAATGTACAGAATGCAGGAAATGAATTTGGCTGTTTGGATTGGGCTCCCTGGGGGGTACTGCTATCCTGTAGCCCACTGGCTGTGGCAGAGCAGAGCTGCCAAGTAATATCCCCACTCCACAGAAGGCCCTTTCTCTGAAGGTTGGTGCCAGGTGACAATGTCTGCATATGGCTGGGGAAACACAGGAGTCCTCTGGGAGGAAAAGTTCTCTGTGCACATAAAAAAACATCTAACATAGGACTCCAGAGATACTGCTTGCAATAGAGTTATCATGGGATTACTTTTATTTTCCTGTCATTAACACTGCTGAATTTACTGTATCAAGAACTAGAATAGGTTCAGAAGACAATTTCTTTATCTAGACCAGCGGTCTCCAAAATGGGGTGCACGCAAGACAATCCATTGGGGTGCGGGAAGAAAATATTAGAACTTCTATTTATATTTATTTTTTATCTCATCCTTTTTTAATTTCTACTTTTTGTTTATGTTTCATAATGTACATAATATATTAGTACAGTAGTACATGTATATCATTTATAAATAAATAGATATACATATATTGGGGGTGCATGCTCAAAAATTTTTTACTGGTAGGGGTGCGTGATCAAAAAAGTTTGGAGACCACTGCTCTAGAAGATCAGAGCATGCTGAACTGGCATCAGGGTGGTTTCCCTTGCAGAGTCCGATGAGACAGACTATGTAGGAAGGAGCAGCCCCACGGTCTCTGAATAGATGAACACCCTTTTATCTCACGACATCCAAGGAGGTACTGGTTTTCTTGCCTTTCTGCCAGAGAGCCTGGCTCTTCAGTCATTTTCTAAAGCCCAGACTCTCATGGCCTGAAGGGTGTTACTCCCTTTTATCCACAAGATGTCAGTGTAAGTGTTCTAATGGAGCAGGGCTGAAGTTCATCCTTCTCCACACTTAAGTCACAGCAGACAGCTCTCCTAAGCATGGTCAATTGTTACAATAGCTGAATTTCTGGGACTTAATGAACTTAGGGAGAAGGTGCATGAGCTACGGCACTGGACTCTATGCCTGGGTTCTAGGGCAGATCACTTTCCCACCTAGCCTTTGGCTATTCAGACTGTGTTTTATCTATGCCTGTGCAATGCCCCATCTCAGGTGGGTCTCCCAGTATAGATACTGGTAATAACCAGGGTAATTGCATTATTCCCTCTTGTATTTACTGCTCATCTGCAGATATGCCTTTTACTGTATCTAGTTTGCAGCTCTCCTTCTCAGAATAAGAATTGTTTTGTGATCTCTCTGACGCAGTTAGGGTCTGCTAGGACACCAGCAGGTGCTGGCATATCTCAGTAACCCCAACAGATATGCGGGTTTGAGCCTCTGCCCGAAAAGAGGATTGGAGACCTCAAAGGAGCAACTGGGTGTTGAAAGGATCAGCAGGGATGACTCAGCAGGTGGAGCTTGGTTGGTGAAGCCCCGGTGTGGTAGGAGGGGCGCTGCGATGCTTGGGAGGTCTGAGTCCTTAATCATTTCTGGTCATTAAAGATCCCACGGTGTTTTCACAAAATGAAGAGTGTGAATCCTGGTGCCTTAACCAAGACAACTACACTCTGCCTTCCAAAATGCCCCTTGCAATTTAAAATGGATACAGAATTTGTCTCATCCTGTCCCATGAAGTCATGAGCGGTTTAGCAGAGGCAGTTACACTTTATACCTGAGTGATCAACACTATGTGCAAGAGCTGGTATCTGTCAAGCCCTCGAGATGGAGGTAAATGAACATGCCCTATGGCATGACCATGCCTGCCACATGTGTGTGTGTTCCCATTGGTGTCCCAGTACAGTAGTCCATGAGAGAAATCAGAGAAAACCAGGATCCCTGCT